GGGGGGTGCCGAGGAGCGGGATGCGGGGGAGCCCCGGTTGCAGGGCGGGCTCCGGGCCGTGACTCCGCCGGTCCCGGCGGTGCGGGGGCTCCGCGGGTCGCTCTCGGCGGCGCGACCGGTCCTGGAGCGCCACCGTGCGGGGGCGGCCCCGGAGACCCCGGGGCTTCCCCGGTCCCCCCGGGGAACGGCGGTCCAGGGTCACCCCCAACCCCCCCTCGGTGTGACCGCACCGGGAATCCCTGCGGTCACCGGCCGCAGCTGCGGCTGCCGGTGCGGAGGCGACCCCGGTGCTCGGCTCCCGCAGTCATTGACCTGCTGCTGGTGAGCGAGGTGCGGCAGATGGCCAGCGTGGCCCACAAGATCCGCATGGAGCTCCTGACCGTCAACGACGTGTACCTCCTGTCCACCTTCCGCCTGCCCCCCAAACAGGGGGGGGACCCTCTTCGGCCTCTACTCCAAGAAGGACAACACGCGGTGGCTGGAGGTCTCGGTCGTGGGGAAGATCAACAAAGGTGGGTGGGTGCCCCACGTATGGGGACGGGCTGGTCCTGCTCCTGCCCCGGTGCTCTGAGGGAAACAGGACTGAGTTCCTGCCGTCCAAGGGGCTCACGGGGAGGAGCAGTGGGTGCCTGCTGGTCCCGGGGTGCTGCCGGTGCCGGGGGGGAGCTGACGGCCCCTCCCCGCTCCTCCGCAGTCCTGGTGCGGTACCTGCGGGAGGACAACAAGGTGCACTCGGTCAACCTGCAGCACGCGCACGTGGCGGACGGGCAGAGCCACTCTGTCATCGTGCGCCTGAGCGGGCTGCGCAGGGACACCCTGAGCGTGGAGCTCTACGTCGACTGCAAGCAGATGGACTCCAGCGTGGGGCTGCCCGAGCTGTCCGAGATCCCCCTGGCCGAGGTGGAGGCCATCGAGGTGCGCACGGGGCAGAAGGCCTATCAGAGGATGCAGGTGAGTGCTGGGGGGACGGAGACCCCACGACTGTGCCCTTGGGGATGGGCAGAGCCCCCCCCCACTGACTGTGTCTCCCCACGTACATCAGGGGTTCGTGGAGTCCATGAAGCTGATCCTGGGCGGGTCCATGAGCCGCGTGGGGGCCCTGAGTGAGTGCCCTTTCCAAGGAGATGAGTCCATTCACAGTGCAGGTAATGGCTTGGGGGGCTTATGGGGTCACCTGTGTGTGCTGTGGTACAGGGAGGTGGGGGGTGACAGCACAGACGGGTGCTCCTGCCTCTCCTGGCCCAGGGTCCCCACACAGGTGGGAGCTCCAGCGCTGCTCATGTGTTGACTGGGAGTGACTGTGTGAGGTGATGCTGTCGGGGTGTGATGGCAGCATTTGGTAACATCTCGTCTCTCTCCTTGCAGTGACGAGTGTGCTGGCCTCCATCCTGGGTGAGTCCCTGCTCTGCTTTCCCCATTCCCTGACCTGAGGCATTTGGGGCTCCACGGAGGCAGAAACCCTTCCACAGCCTGTCCCAGTGCCCCACATGGGGTACATCAAAAGGCACGGGTTGTGTTATGGGGAAAGGGATCCTGTGTGAACCACGGAGGAGAAGAACAGGCTGTCAACTGCCTTGTCCTCCCAACTCAGTGTTGGTGGGCAGAGCAGTCCTGGCCTATGTCCCCAGGGGGCTGTGTCTGTCCTGGGATTGACCTTGTCCTTTCTGCTGCTGGCAGGTGAGCAGACCAAGGCGCTGGTCACGCAGCTGACCCTCTTCAACCGGGTCCTGTCGGAGCTGCGGGAAGACATTAGGGACCAGGTGGGACAGTGGGGGGGTACCAGTCCTCCCTGGGACGGATTTCCCTAGAGCACAGTGCCAGCACCCCCTGATGCTCCACGCTCTGCTGCCTTGCAGGTGAAGGAGATGTCTCTGATCCGCAACACCATCATGGAGTGCCAGGTCTGCGGTGAGTGCTGGCGAGGCTCTGCCCCCACCTCGGGGGGGCAAAGAGCCGCCTTGTCTCACCCCTCATCTGCCTGTCCTCCCCTCAGGCTTCCACGAGCACCGGTCCCGCTGCAACCCCAACCCCTGCTTCAGCGGGGTGGACTGCATGGAGACGTACGAGTACCCCGGGTACCGCTGCGGGCCCTGCCCACCAGGGCTGGAGGGCAACGGCACGCACTGCGCTGACATCGAGGAGGTGGGCACCCTCTGGGGAGACCAGCAGCCCCAGCACTGCCAGGGCAGTGCAGGCAGAGGATGCTTCCTCTCAGCAAAGGCCCTGCTGGGATGGCAGCAGCCCCAATGCTGTGCCCGAGGGTGAAGCTGGTCTCTCTTCCCGGTGCTGCAGTGTGCCCATGCCAACCCCTGCTTCCCTGGCTCCAAGTGCATCAACACGTCCCCCGGGTTCCGCTGTGAGCCTTGTCCCCGTGGCTATCGAGGCAACACCGTCTCTGGTGTGGGGGTGGACTATGCCAAGGCCAGCAAGCAGGTGAGTGAGGTGCCACAGGACTCCACCAGGTCCCTGTGGGTGCTCCAGACGGCAGGGCACTGCCTGTGAGGAGGGCAACTTCCCAGGGGGGCAGGAATGGGCAGGGGAAGGCCCCAGGTGAGGGTTTCTCCCACACTGCTCGCAGGTTTGCACGGATATCGATGAATGCAATGACGGGAACAACGGGGGCTGCGACCCCAACTCCATCTGCACCAACACGCTGGTGAGCAGCACTGTCCCGCTCCCTCCCTGGCTCCCGGGGCCACCCGGCTCCCCTCATCCCACCCCTGCCCTCTCTCCCCCTCCAGGGCTCCTTCAAGTGTGGTCCCTGCAAGTCGGGCTTTGTGGGGAACCAAACGTCGGGCTGCGTCCCCCAAAAGTCCTGCAGCACCACCACCACCAACCCCTGCGACATCAACGGCTTCTGCTTGTTCGAGAGAAACGGGGAGATCTCCTGTGCGGTGAGTGGGGGACAGGGCTGGGAGGGGGTGTGGGGGTTATGGCAGGGGCAGCATTGGTCCTGCCAGGGCCCTTCCCAGCCCCTGATCTCTTCTTCAGTGCAACGTGGGCTGGGCTGGCAATGGCAACGTGTGTGGGCCAGACACGGACCTGGACGGTTACCCGGACGAGCCCCTGCCCTGCATTGACAACAACAAGCACTGCAAGCAGGTGAGCTCCTGGAGGGGGTGCAGGGGCTGGGGGGTGCAGGGGCCACAGCAGAGCCGTGCTCCAGACCTCATCTCCTCCCCTTCCCTGCAGGACAACTGCCGCCTGACGCCCAATTCCGGGCAGGAGGATGCCGACAACGACGGCATTGGGGACCAGTGTGATGATGACGCTGATGGTGATGGTGTCAAGAACGTGGAGGTGGCTGTGCTGGGGGGTGGCTGTGCTGGTGGCTCTGGGAGGGCTTCTTCTTTTGGCTCAGGCCTGAGTCCCTCAAGATGCTTCTCTTGGGGAGCAGCAGGCTGGTGGCTCAGCATGCTGGAGACATCCTCCTACCCTGTGGCTTCTTGTCTGCAAGCCAGCGCAGCAGCAGCAACATCCCTGTCCTCTTTCCCGCAGGACAACTGCCGGCTCTTCCCCAACAAAGACCAGCAGAACTCAGACACCGACTCCTTCGGGGATGCCTGTGACAACTGCCCCAACGTGCCCAACAACGACCAGCGGGACACAGACAGCAACGGCGAGGGGGACGCTTGTGACAACGACATCGATGGGGACGGTGAGTGGCTATTGGGGTGGCCTGGTTGTGCCAGGGGGGCTGTCCTGGGACAACCAGTGTTGGAGAAGGGCATCCACCACCCAGCACTGTCCTTGTAGGGATTCCCAACATGCTGGATAACTGCCCCAAGGTGCCCAACCCTCTGCAGACGGACCGGGATGAGGATGGTGTTGGGGATGCCTGTGACAGTTGCCCTGAAATGAGCAACCCCACTCAGGTATGGGGCAACCCACTCAGGGCAGGGGGCCTGCGGCAAGTGGGGCCTGGCCCGGTGTGGAGTGGGGTGTCCTTCTCGCCCTGGGGTGTCACTGAACTAGGGCTGTGGTCTCCTCCAGACAGATATGGACAGCGACCTGGTAGGAGACATCTGTGACACCAATGAGGACAGGTGGGGACAGTGTTGCAGTGGGGTCACCTTCCCATCCAGTCCTGTCCTGTCCTGTCCCTGGGGGCAGAACTGATTCAGGACCTGGCAGGGGGGATGACAGGGTCTTAAAGATTCTGAGATGTAGTGCCAGGTCCCCGCTTTTGGCACTGCTCTGACCTTGTTTTTGCTCCCAGTGACGGGGACGGGCATCAGGACACCAAGGACAACTGCGCCGAGATCCCCAACAGCTCCCAGCTGGACTCGGACAATGATGGGCTGGGGGACGACTGTGACAATGACGATGACAACGATGGCATCCCAGACTACGTGCCACCTGGCCCAGACAACTGCCGCCTCATTCCCAACCCCAACCAGAAGGACTCGGATGGTGAGTGCGGGTCAGGTGAGGGGAGGCAGAGCCACGTGGGCTCAGCCCGGCCCTGACTGGGCACGTGTCCCCAGGGAATGGCGTGGGTGACGTCTGTGAGGAGGACTTTGACAATGACACCGTGGTGGACCAGCTGGACGTGTGTCCCGAGAGCGCCGAGGTGACGCTCACCGACTTCCGCGCCTACCAGACCGTCATCCTCGACCCCGAGGGGGATGCCCAGATCGACCCCAACTGGGTTGTCCTCAACCAGGTGTGGGTGCTGTGCCCCGTGTTTCTGGGGGCTGCGCTGCAGGGTGGGAGCTGAGGGGGTCGGGAGGTCCCCGGGGGTGCTGGGGCTGCCCCTCACCCTGCTGTCCCTCACAGGGCATGGAGATCGTGCAGACCATGAACAGCGACCCGGGCTTGGCTGTGGGTAAGAGATATTCACCCACCCACAGGCCCCGGGGGCAGCCCCCCTACTCCTGCCCCTCTGCGTGGGGGGGACGAGGGCTGGTTCTTTGCCCCACAGAGGGGTGAAGGGTGGGTGGGCTGGGGAATCCCACAGCGTTTCCTGCCCGTAGGCTACACGGCCTTCAACGGGGTGGACTTCGAGGGCACCTTCCACGTCAACACCGTTACTGATGATGACTACGCCGGCTTCATCTTCAGCTACCAGGACAGCGCCAGCTTCTACGTGGTGATGTGGAAGCAGACGGAGCAGACGTATTGGCAGGCCACTCCTTTCCGTGCCGTGGCCGAGCCAGGGCTGCAGCTCAAGGTGGGTGCTGGCTCCCCGTGGGCCAGGTCAGGCTCTCCATCCCTCCTGGCCAGGTCCCCTCTGACACCCCCTGTGCCCCCCAGGCAGTGAAGTCCTCGACGGGCCCCGGGGAGCACCTGCGCAACGCGCTGTGGCACACGGGCCACACGCCCGACCACGTCCGCCTGCTCTGGAAGGACCCCCGGAACGTCGGCTGGAGGGACAAGACGTCCTACCGCTGGCAGCTGGCACACAGGCCCCAGGTGGGCTACATCAGGTGAGTGGGGGGCACGGGGGCTGCTGAGGTGGTGGGGGGTGTGCTCACCACGGGGCAGGGTGGGGTCCGGCCCTAGTGGGACCACACCGGTGGGGGAATGATGATCACTGGGAGGAAAACAATTCTGGTGTGATCCAGCCCTGGTGAGGGTAATGATGACCATCAGGAAGGGTCCTGCCCTGTGCGATCACCCTGGTGACAGGATGCCACGTGGGGAGGGATCCAGCCATGTGGGACCACCGCAGTGGGGGGATGCTGGCCGTGGGGGGGGGAAACCAGCCCTGTGGGACCACCCTAGTGAGGGGATGCTGGTCATGGGGTGGTACCCAGCCCTGTGGGGCCACCACAGTGGGGGGATGCCGGCCATGGGGAGGGGTCCTGGCCGGCGGGGCCGCGGGAGCGTTTCCCCTTTAAGGCTCCCGCCGGGGCGGCCGCGGCGGGGGGGCTCCGCCGCCGGGCCCTCCGCCCCCCGGGCCCCCGGGGCCATTGTCCCGTCGCCATGGCGACCCCGCCGGCGCCTTTCACATGCAAAGTGCCCGACAAAGGCGGCGGGGCCGGGCCGGGGGCGGCGCGGGGGGCTCCAGCCCGGCCATGGCGGGGGGCCCCGGCCCGGGGGTCCAGCCCAGCCCGGTGCCCCCGGCCCAGCCCCCCGCGGGATGCCCCGGCCCCAGCCCGGTGCCACCATCCTGGGTCGGGATGCCCGGTAGGGCCCGATGCTGGTCCTGGAGGGGTCCCAGTGGGGTCCTGGCGGGGTCCAGGTGCTGGCCCCGATGGGGTCTCGGTGGGATCCCGATGCTGACCCCGGTGGGGTCCCGCTGACTGGTCGGGCCCCGTTCCCCCCCCAGGGTCCGTCTGTACGAGGGCCCGCGGCTGGTGGCCGACTCCGGGGTGATCATCGACACCACGATGCGCGGGGGGCGGCTGGGGGTCTTCTGCTTCTCCCAGGAGAACATCATCTGGTCCAACCTGCAGTACCGCTGCAACGGTGAGCAGGGCCCCCCGGGACCCCCGCCCCGGCCCGGCGGCCGGCCGAGCATCCCCTTCGCGCCCCTGCGGCGGCGGTCGGGCCGTCGGTCCTGGGCCGGGCGCTTGCTCCCCCCACCGGCTCCTGACGCCCCCCGCGCTGCCCCTCACAGACACGATCCCCGCCGACTTCGAGCCCTTCCGCCGATTCCTGCTGGAGGGACGCGAGTGACCGCGCCCAGCCCGGGCCTCCCCCGCCAGCGGCACCCGGGGGCGCCCCGGGCCCCGCCGCCCCTCCCGGCCGGGCCCCGCTCCCGGCCCCCCGCGGACTTTGCACTGCCGGTACCGGGGCCCCGCGGTGCCGGGGCTTCCTCTGCGCCTGCCCCGGGCGCTCCGGTCCCTGCCCCACGCCTGGCCATAAAGTTTTGAGTGTTTTCTAGCCTGCGCGCCCCGTCCCTGGCGGGGGTTCCCGGTGCCCCGAGAGGGCTCTGGGTGCCCTCCCCGTGCTCTCGGCTCCGTCCCGCGCCGTCCTCCCGGTGGTCGCGGGGGCCGGGTCCGTGCCCGGCCGGTCCCACCGGCGCAGCCCGCGGCGGCGGGAGGCCGGGACGAGTGCAATATTGGTGGGCGAGAGCACAACACTGCACCGCATCCCGGCCCTCCCGCCGCCCCGGAGGGAGCGGGAACCGCCGCCGCCGCCGCCCGGGGCCGCTCCGTGGGAACTGCGCGGCGCGCACCGCGGCTCGGCGGCACGGACCGGTCGCCACGGCGACGGCTGTCCCGGCAACGCGGCGGAATGTGCCCCCACCGCCCCCCCGCTCGCCCCGGAGCGCGCGGCCCCGGCACCGGCCCGGCCCCGCGGCGGCGGCGGCGACAATGGGCGCGGCGGCACCGGGCCCCTCTTAAAAGGGCAACGCGGCGCTGCCCGCCGGTGTTGGGGCCGCAACCGGGGCCGGGGCCGGTGCCCGTTCGCGACCCGGGGGTCCCGGGGCAGGTGACATCACTGCTCGGTACCGAGCGCCTCGTCCCACGCCCCCAGCGAGGAGCGACCGCGGGTCCCGCTACCGTTTTGGTCTCTCTCTTTCTCCCTCTCCGGTCCCGCTCCCGGTCCAGTCCCGCTCCCGCTTCCATTCCATCTGCGGTTCCGCTCCGCTTCTCCTCCCGCCTCTCCCAGTCCCTCTTCCCCTCCGGTCTCGCTCCAATCGCCGTCCCAGTCCCCCTCTGGTCTGGCTACAGTCGCAGTCCTGCTCCTGCTCCTGCTCCTGCTCCTGCTCCTGCTCCTACTCCAGCTCCAGCTCCCAGTCCCGGTCCCAGTCCCGGTCCCAGTCCCGGTCCCGCTCGCGCTCCCGCTCGCTCTCGGGTCTCACTCCAGTCGCAGTCGCGGTCTTGCTCCCCGTCCCGATCGCGCTCCCACTGCCGCTCCGGTCTCGCTCCAGTCGTTTTCCCCCTCCCGCTCCGGTGTCGCTCCAGTCGCGGTCCCGATCTCGGTCCCGGTCCGGTCCCGGTCCGGTCCCGGTCCCCCGGCGGTGCCGGTGCCCGGGGCGAGCGTCGTGCGGGGCCGCTCCCGCCAGGGGACGCCGCAGCTCCGGCGCCGCCGGTCGGAGCGGGAGCGCGCGCGGGGCAGCCGCGGGGGCGCGCGGGTCGGGACCCCCCCGGGCACGGCGGGGACACGGGACCCACCCAGCAGGGAGCGGGTGGGCACACGGGACCCCGAGGCACGGACAGGGTGGGCACACGGGACCCACGAGGCACGGTGGGGGTGGGTGCACAGGACCCACGGGACGCAGCCAGGGTGGCTGCACGGCCCCCTGGCCCGGGGCTCGTGTGTGAGAGGGTTGCCGTGAGAGGTGCTGTGGTCCCTGTGAGACCCACCTGCCCCTCAGCCCCCCACAGGGCGTGTCCTCTGTGCGTGGAGGGACACTGTAGACATCAAGCCCCTGCTTTGGGGGGTGAGGAGCTCTGGGGAGAGCCCCCTGTGCTCAGTGGAACCGAGGATTGGTGCTGGCACAGCGGGCAGAGGGCAGTGGGGAGGTCAGTGTCACTGCGTGGGGGCTGCTGTCCCCATGGCAAGGCCTTTGGGGGAGGACAAGTTCACCCAGAGTTGCTGCCTGCACTCTGCCTGTGCCCTGCCTGCATCCTGCCTGCATCCTGCCTGTGTCCCCATGTCTGGCACCAAGGCTCTGGCCCCCAGTGGGGACAGAGGGCCACTGGGTCCCATTGCACCTGCACTGACACCAAGGCCATCCATGCCTTGCCCCGGTGTCACTGCAGCACAGAGGGTCCCTCGTCTCTGCTCCCCTTCTCAGCGCTGCCTTGGAACCCTTTGGCGTGGCTGGGGTGGCACTTCGGCTCCACGGGAGGCTGGGCAGGAGTCAGGTGTGGGAGACCCCACCAACGCCTCCCCAGGAATTGGGGCCCTCCCAGGGATCGGAGCTCCCTCCCCCAGGAGTGGGGGTCTCTTCAGGACAGGGGCAGGGAGGGACCACAGTGGCTGGTGATGCTCGGCCGTGCCAGGAGCACGTGTCACCCGGAGGACGTGGGCTCTGTGCCCCAGCACGGGCGGCACCCGTTACCTCTGGGGTGGGGCACCTGGCGTCAGCCGTGTCCTGAGTGGGGTCAGGGGTTTGTACCTGCTGGAGGGGCCCTGGGACCTGCAGGCAGGTTACTGGGAGGTACTGGGATGTCGTGGGGCCCTTGGCTACACCTGCGTAAGCGTTTCGGGGGGGTCACCGGTGTTTATTTGAGTGTAGGGCGAGGCAGTGGCCGGCCGGTAATGATTAACCCCGGGCTGAGCCAGAGGCTGAGGCCCCCCTGCACGAGGGGCTGGGGGGCTCCGTGTCCCCCCCGTAACCCCACCAGGTCCCGGGGGCTGTGGCTCAGCCCGTAGGGTTGGGCAAATGCTGCCCCTACCCCTGCCCGGGATGCCCAGCTACTGTCCCGTCCTGTGCCCGCCCGAGGCTGTGTCCGTTCACGGCACGGGAATGCTGCCAGCGGTGTCCCCCCGAGCCGAGCAAGCACGGGGGGATTCAGCCTGGGGGGGGGAGGTGTGATGCTGCTGTGGGCGCTGTATCGGCGCGGTGGCACCTCTGTGCCAAACGGGGCAGAGGAAGCCCCCTCCCTGGAGCCGGCGGTGGGGTGGGGCCTCTCCACCTGCTCCAGGTGCTCTATAAAGCTCCGGCCGCTGCCGAGCCGCCAGTTCCGGATCCCTGGATCGAGGCGTGCGCCGCCGGCTAACGGGAGAGCAGCCACCGCCCAGCCCCGCCAGGCGCTGGGACCCTCCGGACGAGCCCCATGGCGTTCACTGCCCTTCTGCTGCTGCTCGTGCTGGGCACAGGTGAGGGGCTGGGGCACCCCGAGCCAGGGGGAGCTGGGCTGTGACCTGGGCAAGTGGGGAGGTACCGGGCCAGGGGGAGAGGAGTGGGATGCCTTTCAGAGTGGGGACCAGGGGACACCAGAGCTGGTGGCACCCCGGCAGCAGGGACCTTGTCACCTGTCCCGGTCTGGCTCTGAGGTGCAGCACGGCAGGGCTGGTTGTGCCCAGCAAAGCCAGGACTTGGGGGCTCAAACCACGGCCCCTTCTCTGCCGTGTCCGGGGCTGGGCTGTGCCGGGACCAGCCGGAGCAGGCTGTGCCTGGGGCTCGCAGGCTGGAATGCAGGTGTGTCCCGGTGAGCACCCGGACCCCGGGCTCTCCTCCAGTGCCGCCGGCTCCTGTGGCACCCACTGAGAACCTGCCCGGGAGCTGCCTGTGCTGGCCCACAGCCAGGCCAGGCGGGTCCGAGGGGCACAGGGGGCACCCCACCCTGCAACCCACAGCAAAGGAGGCTTTATTGGGGTGGTGCCTGAGCCCCGCAGTGTGGCAGGGTCACCCCAGGATCTGGGGGTCTGCAGGGCTGGTACCAGTGCCCAGGTGGCACTGCCTGGACCCTTGGCGGTGTCACACGTGCCCAGCACCAACCACAGTCATGGGGTGTTCCTGAAGGTCTCGTGGGCAGCAGGAGCCACCGGTTCTTGGCTCGTGTGGATCACGGTGCTTCCTGCAGTGTACAGCTCTGTTGGGCAAAACCTTCCCAAATCGGGGCTGCAGCTGCCAACTCCTGGTGTTTCCTCCAGATACACGTGCTGTGCCCATGGAGACGACCATGGAGATGGAAACGGCTGAAACGACCGCCACGGAGACGACCACGGAGACCACCACCCACACCTTGACTGCTGCTCCTCCTGTCTTCACCAGGGGCACAGGAGGCAGCAGGTCCCCACCCTCTCTCTTCCCCCATGCCACCGTGTTCCCTGGCAAAAACACCACAGACTTCCAGTCCGGCAACCACTCCTTGGGCAATGGCACCACAGTGCCCATCCCTGGCAGCCCAGCCATCTCCCACCCCAATGTCACCTCGAACAGCAGCAGCTGGGCTCCCCACTTGGGCACCAACAGCAGCTCTGCCGCTCCCACCACCGTGGATGGCGGCAACTCCAGCGCCAACGGCAGCACCAGCGCTCAGGTCCCTCCCACCCGGACAACCTCTGTGACAGCTGAGGGCAGCACAGCCCACAGGCAGACCCCCACCAGGGAGGGTCCCAACCCCAGCAAAGCCACAGCCCGGCTGCCCGCTGCCGTCCAGCTGCTCGCCCGCGTCCCGCTGTCCTTCCGCATCATCAACAGGAGCTTCAACGAGAGCCTGCGTGACCCCACGTCGGAGCAGTACCGGAGCCTGAGCCGCACTGTCCTGAGCATGGTGAGTCCTGGGAGCTCTGCCCGCACCAGCAACGCCCCCCGGGCTGTGCCAGGGAGGAGCCGCCTCACCTTGGGGCTCACCCTGAGCATCTGCTCTGCCAGCAGCTCCAGCTGCATGGGAATGGGAAGGGCGGGGTGTCTGTGGGGAGGTGACAGATGGGGTGTCTGTGGGGAGGTGACAGATGAGGTGTCTGTGGGGAGGTGACAGATGAGGTGTCTGTGGGGAGGTCACCGTCACCCCAACGCTTCGTTCCAGTTTGAACACGTGTTCGGCTGCGCGGGCTGCGCGGGCACACAGACCTACATGGGGTGCAGTGAGCTGCAGTACAGGTGAGCAGCAGCAGTGTCCTGGCACACACATCCCGCCTGGTGCCGAGCCCCTCAGGGGGTGATCTGGGCACTGACACCTCCTCCCACACAGCCAGGGCTCGGTGGAGGTGCAGTCCACCCTCGTGTTTGGGAATGGCAGTGACACTGTCACCCCCAACGCTGCCGAGCAGCGCCTGAGGAAGAGCCTGGACCAGAATGGCTTCATCATGGGCCTGCAGCTGGACAGCATCCAGAGTGAGTGGGGGCTCTGGGACAGAGTGGGAGGGCAGATGGAGCCCGGGGTGGGGTCAGAGGGCTCTGTAAATGCTGCCCTGTCCTGACTGGGGCTCTTTGGTGCTGAGACAAGCTCGGGGCTCACAGCGGGCAGAGCCAGTGCAGGTTCCCAGTGGGCAGCACTGGGAAAAGCAAGTGGATTCCGTGGGGGAGGGCTCAGCCCCTGATGCCCCATCCTGGGGGTCTCTCAGGGCTCTGTCAGGCTCTGCCTGTGGTGCAGACTCAGCTCTGCTCCTTTCAGGCTCCACAGAGGTGATGTCCCCAGCACCAGTGCCCATGGTCCCAGACTGGGCCATTGCTCTACTGGTCCTGGTCAGCATCCTGGTGCTGCTGAGCTTCTTCACTTGCCTCCTCCTGATGGTGAGGTCCCATCCCCATCCTCATCTGTGTTCTGCCAGTGAGTCCCCTGTCCCCACACCCCAGGCCCTGATCCCTTCTCTCTCCCCCAGTCCTCCTGCACTTGCCGCCGGAAAAGCCGAGGGAAGCTGGACCTGCTCAGCCAGAAGGATTCCTACCACCCCATGGCTGAGTACCTCCAGTACCAGAGCCACGGGCGCTACGTGTCCCCCAACAGCAAACCCAACCCCTACAGCCAGGTGAGAGCGAGACCCCCATCCCCGGGGTCCGGCTGCTGTGGGGTGGGTGCAGAGCAGGGGTACATCCCCTGTTAATGGCTAACGGAGCCGGGACGGGTGTCCAGGGAGCTCGTCCCGCGCCGGGCTCGCCGGGAGGTGAGGGTAACTTTCACGCCTGGCTGGAGCCGCGTGGGGAGCGGGTACGTGGCCGGCGCGGGCAGACCCTGCCCGGCTCCGGGGAGCTCCCCGCGACCTTGGGCGGCTGCTCCCCCTGCCCAGCCCTGGCAGCACTGCAGGGCTCGCTGCCTGCCCGCGCTGCCCCTTCTGCTCAGCTGCATCCCAACCCGTCTCTCGGCTCTCCTGGTGTTGCAGCATCCTCTGCCGCGGGTGGGGAGCGGGGATGGGGGCACTTCAGGGCTGGCGGCGGGGCTGATCCCCACAGCCTACACCCTAACCCACACCAGCTCCGAAAATGGAGCTGCAGGTGCCGCGGCGGGAGTTGCCCGCAGGCACGAAGAACTCCCCTGGGCAATGTGGGGCACAGAAGCCGCCCCGTTCCCCCCCTCCCCGTGCCCTGCGCTCCCCCCAGGCCGGGGCTGCGGGCGGGGGCCGAGCGTCCAGCTGCTCTGCTCCCTTCGAGCAGCTCACCCTGTGCAAATACCAGGGGCCTGGGTAAATATTTACCTTCTCGCTCGCCCGGCCGGCTTATCGTGTGAGAACACGGCCGGGGCCAGCGCGGCTCCTCCCGTGCGCGGGGCGGGGGGGGGCGGCTCGAGGTGCCCGTGTGGGCCTGGGGTGCCCACGGTGCCCGTGGCTGGGGGGCAGGTGCCCACCACGCAGTTTTTGGCTGCCCACAGTGGCTGTGGGGAGGGTGTGGGGGGTTCCCCTGTTGCCTCCGGGGGAGGGGGCTCAGCCCAACCCTGACACCGCTGCACTTTTCCTCCCCCCAAGGTGGCCGGCAGCAGCACCACGAGGGCCGGCACCTTCACCTACACCAACCCTTCCACCGGCTCCGACAACCTCTGAGGCACACGCTGGGACGGAGGGCGGCTGCCGAGGGGAGGGGGCAGCTGCAGCCCCCCACTCCCGGGGGAGCAGCACCGGCCCCGGGCACATCCCCCGGTGCTGCTCGGCCCCTCGCCGCGGGCAGCGGGCGCTGGATGGTTCTGGAGCAGCCGGATTCGCGCATATGACAGAACTGGATGAACGAAGATTGGGGGCGGGGGGGAGGGTCCCCCGCACCCCACGGTCCCCGCTTGGCTTTGCAACCCTGCTCCGTGCCGGGGGCGTGGCGGGGGCCGGGCTCATGCTCGCCCTGCACTCACCCCTGGGGATTCAATTGCTCTTTTTGTGGTGTTGTTTTACATAAATATCTCTGTTTGGGGGGTGTTGGTGCCGGGCTCGGCTCGGCGGGGTGGCAGGTCCTGGGTGGGGTGGCAGGTCTCGGCCGGGGTATATTTATCACAGTTACAATAAAAGGATGGGGGCAGCCACGTGTCCCCAGGGCTGTGCTGGGGGGGCTCCCCTTGGGCTGTGACAACCCCAGTGTGGCTGTCAGGGGGTGACTCCAGCTTGGGCAGTTGCTCTCACTTCTCAATCCAGGCAGTCCTGGGGTTGGTGCTGGGGGTGTCACTGTGTCCCCAGTCCCTGTGTCCCTCTAGGTGTGACGTGTCTGCTGGGCTCCATCCCTCTGAGCCCTCCTGCACTCTCGGTTTCTGTTCACGATCCAACGTGTCCCATTTGATGTTTGACACGTCCCATTTCCCCACGGCTGCACAGGTGGAATGTGACAGAGCCGACGGGGCCGTGCAGCTGCACGGGCTGCACGTGTGTCACCGGGTGCATGTGGCATGTCCTGCCCCCCTCCCCTGCCTGCTCCAGGCTGGAGGTCCTCCAAACCCTGAGGGAGCCCCAAAAAGGCTTTGGGGGGCTGCTGGAAGGAGGGGAGCACAGCTGGAAGGTGGGATGTGCCGAGGGGCAGCATGGTGGCCCCAGCAGGGCTGTGTGTTGGGCTGTGCCAGGGAACAAGCCTTGGGAATGCCATGCCTGGAGCACAGTGCTGGCCCTCTGGCAGTCCCAGTTTGGGCTGGGCCCATCCTGGGCACTGGGAGGGTTTTGGCAACCACTGAAAAGGCAGAAAAACAAGGAACCAAACCTTCCCCTAAGAAATTCCATGTGGGTGCAGGCACGGAGCCAGTGCTTGGCCAGGAACACCCTTGGGACCAGCCCAGTGGCTGGGGGACAGCTCTGGGAGGGGGTCACTGCTGTGCCAAGTGCCCAGAGAGCCTGGTATGTGCTGGGAGGTGTCAGAGCTGTGCTGGGCTGTGGGTGAGAGGCTGGGGGGCCTCTGGGGAAAGGGGGGCTGCCCAGTGCCCCCAGGCTCAGCTGTGGGGTGGGGAGTGCACTGATGGGGGGCTGTGGTACAGCGTAGCATCCCCCCCCAATCCATGCTGCCAGCTGGGGATGGGGTTGTGTGCCTGGGGCAGAGCCCTGTGGAGAGCAGGGGGGTGCCTGGGGTTGCTGCTGCCCCTCCTCAGTCTCCCCCCTCACCCTCCCCACCCTCCAGCCTTGGGCAGGGCCCCAGGAATCGAAACAGGCACCAGGGCTGGGCCCTACAAAGAGCTGCCTGTTCACAGGAAGCCCGACCCTGTGGCCCCCTCACCTTCAAACATAAGGGTGGGGTCCCCAGGGGCAGGCACCAGCCTGGGGGGGCCCTGCCCCACGTGGCCCTTCCACCTGCCATGCAGTGTACCCAAGTGGGGGGTCCAGCCCTGTTACCCACCGTGAGAGGATGCCTCAGCCTTCCTAGCTGGACTGTGCGCCTTTGGGACCCCCCAAAAATGCTGCAGGGGTTTGGTTTAGGCCCGGCAAGGTGATGACCTGTCCAGGAGCCCCCTGACACCCCAGGATGGGGTGGCAGTGACCACGTGGCCGAGCAGAGCACGGGCAGGACCTGACACGTCAGCACTGCCTGGGCTGGGCAGGATTGGCCCCTGCTGGGCACAGGCTGAAGGACAGCCCGGACCCACAGCACCCCAACACCACAGACAGCCCAGCCCCATGGTCAGCCTGGTCCCACGGCCCCCCAAGCCCACAGACAGACTGACCCCACAGCCTCTGGCTCACCAGCCCCATGGTCAGCCCAGGAGCCCCACAGCTCCCTGACCCCAGAGGCAGCCCAGCCCCACAGCCCCCTGGCCCCATGGACAGCCCGACCCCATGGACTGCCTGGCCCCACAGCCACAGCTGCCCTCCACGTCAGGGAGGCTCCCGAGGAGTCTGGCATCGCAGTTTATTGTAGGAAACCATGAAAATACAGCAATTGTTGTAACAGAACCCAGGAGAAACGACAGCAGCTCGGACAGATCCCGGCACGGGAACTGCCAGCACGGCCCGTGGGGCTCCCCTGGGCGGGTCGGATCCGGACCCCGCGGCCCCAGCCCGCCCCGGCCGTGTGCGGTTTGGCACCGAGCGGTGTAACGGGAGCCAAGCGTGGCCCTCGGAGCACGTGCAGGCAGGGCACAGGCAGGGCTGGCCAGGCACATGGCTGCCCAAGGACAGGGCAGAGAGGGGGCACCGGGAGCCCACGGGAGGGACCCCTCGGTGGCTGTGGCCGGGGGCCGTGCCCGGCCGGATGAGCCGCATTGAAAACGAGCCATTTTACAAAACGTCTTCACACCTTGTTCCAGCCCCGTCTACCCCCCCGCCCTCTCCCCTACCCCAGCTGCCTCCCCCACCCCAGCCAGAGCCCAGCCTCCCCCCCCCCACTGTCCCCCCCACTGTCACCTGCCTCCCCCCTCCCTGCACAGCCCCGTCCCCCTCCCTGACCCGTCTCTGGGGCTGACCCTCTGCCAGCCCTGCCCGCAGCCCCAGCCCAGAGCAGCCTGGGGCCGAGCTGGGGCGAGGGGCAGGCGGACAGGGCGAGGAGGGGACGGCAGAGCTGTCCCCGTCCCCCCCCATCCCACAAAACAAACACCTGGCCCGTCCCCAGCAGTGGCAGGGCCGGGACTGCCCACCCTGTGCTCTGCTCCCTGCCCCCCAGGCCCCGGAGCTCTCGGGGGGCACAGCCGGGGGCGCGCGGGGAGCGCGGGCACGGCTCAGTCCAGCTTGGGGAAGCCCCCGATGGTCACTTTCCGCTCCTGCTTGTTGGCCACCAGCTCCTGGAGGTGCAGGGCCCCGCCCCCGATGAAGCAGAAGGCGGGGCAGACGGGCCCCGAGCAGTCCACGCCGCACTCCCAGAGCTCGCGGAAGGACACGGCGTCGTAGAAGCTCACCTTGCCCTGCTCGTAGTCCAGGCAGATGCCGATGCGGGGAGGCAGGGGCACGGTGCAGCCGTTGGGGTCGCGGGAGGTGAGCGCCGAGCCGTGCGACAGCAGGATCTTGCCCATGCCGATGGTGAGGAAGGCGTAGGGTGGCGGCGCCTCCACCGTCGTGTCCTCGGCCCCGCTGTCGTGGCCGCTGTCGGGGTCGTACCTGCAGCAGGAGGACAGGTGAGTCCTGACACCGACACACACGGGACAGGCTGGAGCTCCCCCCCACTCCCCAGTGCCTGCTGTGGAGGCAGGAACAGGCAGAGGACACCCCTCCGCTCACCGCCCCGCTCACCTGGGGCTCACCACGTCCTGCGGCACCTGGAACCACTCCTGCAGCTTGCTCTCCAGCCCCACGCCCACCTTCACCAGGTAGGAGCTGGGGTCCACGCAGCAGGCCCAGTAGCTCTTGCCCTGGGTGATGGCCACGTCGCCGATGACCAGGTCGATGGAGAGGTGGCAGCTGGTCATCAGGCGCTCGGCGGCGAAGAGCATGGGGATGCCGGGGACGCTGCGCACCGCGCGCTGGTCCTTGCTGATGGCCAGCCGGTCCCGGTTGAAGCCCCAGCGGTTGTCCAGGAAGAAGTTGAGGACTGTGGGGAGGAGAGGAGGAGGAGGGTGAGCGGGGTGACACACCGGGGCGCTCTGCGGGTGCTCCGAGCCCCCCGGCCCCCCTCACCCGGGGCGGGCGGCGTGTGCAGGTAGATGTCCTCGCTGTACTCCCCGAAGCCCGCCTTGTTGTAGCCCTTCACCCGCAGCACGTAGACGCTGTCGGTGTCCAGGTACTCGACGAGGGCGCAGGTGCCGCGCACCTCCTCCCGCCGCTGCCACAGCTTCAGCCCCTTGGCCTTGGCGTCGGTCTTGCGGAACTCCACCGTGTAGTGCCAGGCGGGTGGTGAGTGCTGCGGCAGCCGCCAGCACAGGAAGATCTGGTCGTAGGTGTAGGTGCGCTGCGTGTCGATGACGGGGGCCTCGGGCGCTGCGGGGAGAGGCACCGGCGGGCATCAGGCAGCATCCCCCCCCCCCGCAGGCGGGGAGGCGGCCGGACGCAGGGACGGGGGCATTCCGGACGGACGGACGGACGCACAACCAGCGGAGTCTAAGGGGGGTCTGACTGCGGAGACCGTGTGTCGGCACCGGAGGAGAGCGAGAGTCGGGGAGACAGAGGAGCTGCTGCTGTGGGGCTCCAGGGACCAGACAGGCCGAGTGCAAGTCGGGAGGGAGGAGAGAGAGAGAGAGAGAGAGAGAGAGAGAGAAAGAGGACGGAGGCAGCAGGAGAGGAGCAGGAGATGGGGATGGCGGGTGGTAGGGGATGGGAATGGAGGGGGAAGAAAATGGGATGAGGAGAGAGGTGGAAACTGGGCAAAGAGAGGGACAGAAATGGGGTGAGGAAGAGTACAGAAATGGAGTGAGAGTTGGATGGAAATAGGGATAGAGGGGGAATAGAAATGGGGGGAGGATGGAGCAGAAATGGGGCAAGGATGGGGTGGAAATGGGGTGCAGACGGGAACAGAAATGGGGTGAGAGGGAGACAAATGGGGCAAGAAGGGGGGTGGGAATGGAGCAAGGAGAGGGATGGAAATGGAGAAAGGAAGGGGACAGGAATGGAGTGAGGGGAAAAGGAAATGGGGTGAGGATGGGGTGGAAATGGCACAAGAGAGGAACAGAAATAGGGTGAGGAAGGGGATGGAAATGGAGGAAGAGGAGAATGGGAACAGAAATGGGAAGAGGGGGGATGGAAATGGAGCAAGGAATGGAAACAGGGCAAGGAAGGAGATAGTAATGGGGTGAGGATGGGGCAGAAATGGGGTGAGGTGGAGGGGAATAGGGCAAGGATGGGGTGGAAATGGGGCATGTGACAGTGGAAATGAGGTGAGGAGGGGATGGAAATAGGGCAAAAGGGAAATGGAAATGAGGTGAGAAGGGGCAGAAAATTGGGTGGTGAACGGGACAAGTGAGGTGAGAGTGGGACAGAAATGGGGCGAGGGAAGGGATGGAAATAGGGCATGAGGGGTGGAAATGGGGCAAGAGGGGGATGGATATGGGGCAACGAGGGGGCAGAAATGGGGCAACGAGGGGGCAGAAATGGAGTAAGGAGGGGGACGGAAATGGGGCGAGG